AAGTCTTTGACTATGCAATTTTTGACTAAAGGAGAAAGCTAATAGAGTAATTTTATAGAGTTTAATACGTTGGTTAAGGTAGGAACCAGGTCTTCCACTGGCCGGGCCGGTCCTTATTTCCGACCCGACAGTGTATTATAATTATATGAAACCATGTAGTCATTCCTTTCTCTTTCATATCATATTCATTCTTCTGTTGTAATACATTTTGTAAAAAATGTTAAAATTTTGTATCCTTGTGTATTTTTTGGGTGTGAATGTGAATGTATAAGCCTGTAGCGTTTTTGGTGAGTTTTGTTCTGTATTTTCTATTTTCTATTAATAAAAGAAAGTTAGAAAAAACAAAAAAAAGAGGCAGAAACCTCGAGCAGAACCGTGGCTCAGGGTGGGCGGCCATCTGCCTCGACCGTTTGGGGGTGAAGGACAGAGAGAGAGAGATGGCAAGAGAGGAACAGAGAGAAAGGAGGAAGGAGAGAGAGGGGAGGGAGGCAGCCTACACAATATACACACACAGAGGTACAGACAGTAAAGGTGACGTTGCTATAGACTAAATGAAAAATGGTACAGATATTTATAGTAGTGTTGATGTTAATAAACGTAATGTTAATGATTATAATAACAATAGTAACAATAGTTGTAGCAGAGGGTGTCGAGCAGGAACTCGGGGGCAGCAGGTGACCCGCAGCCACAGATCCAGACTCCACAGCTCCAGAGCCAGAAAACCTGCAGGAAGTGATAGGAGGAGAGAGGAGAGGGACGAGAAAACACAAGACTACCGGAAAGAGGAGAAGTTGTGTTAGTAACATGCAATAATTGGATGAGGTTGCATACAGAGGGAGAGAAAGTAGAGGAGAGAGGAGCTCAGTGCATCATGGGTAATCCCCCAGGCAGTCTAGGCCTACAGCAGTATAACTAAGAGATGGTTCAGGACTCACCTGAGCCAGCCCTAACTATAAGCTCTTAAATGTGGAGATGGTGTCTGCCTCCTAAACCCAAACTGGAACCTGGTTGCACAGGAGAGGAGATTAATGATGCTTGGTGCTCAACCACAGCCAAAGTGGATGGACAATGTTTATTAGATGTGGAATTCTGATGTTTTTTTTGTTGCTGGCGATTTTAATCAAACAGATCTCAGAACAATATTACCTAAATTCCACCAGCATGTCCACATCCCCACCAGAGGAAAAAACACACTACGTCTTGTGAGAAATACATTATAAGTTGCTCATTTTTAGAATTTCACTGTAACTAACTTGTGAGAAATTAGCATTGGTTTCTAATCAAAGGCTGATTTACAATAAACATCTGCTGGCATTTAGGTAAGAGTTTTAACATAGACCAATCAAGAGACGGAGAAACATCTCTGATGCCTTTGTTACATCCCAGCTCACTAGTGGGAAAGGGGACGTACGCATAAACCAGATGTATTCGGTAGGGTGGAAAAGTTATTTATTTGTACAAGAGAGTTTGACATGGTTAACAAATTAGAGTTGGGGCAAGTAGGTACTGTGAAAACATAAACTCAAGAAAACAAAACGAGATCCCTCCAAAACAGGGATTACTAACTCAAAACTAAAGTGAAAACAAAAACCTCTATTTAGAGCACCTCAAAACAAAACACAGGGAGCGCAGCACCCCTAAACCTAGTGTCGCTAAACAAGGAAAAGTCTTATGTGTAGGGTGGGTGTCAGTGCTTACTCTGCCTGGCAGAGCCTGGCCCAGGTCTGCAGACACAGTAAAACACAAACTAGACCCAGGTGGGTCTTTTAACATCAATCAACACCTACTGACTCTCAGTAGTGACAGACACTGCTGCAACAGAGCCTTTAGCTAAACAGTTAACAAAGACTACTCTTAACAGGGTAAATACTGACTCTCAATAACAGTAACAAACAAGCCACCAAAGAGAAGCTGCTGCAACCGGCAACAATATACATACGTTTTAGGCTCAATACCAGCAGTGGTCGGCACAGAGACAAAACAGTTCAATGCCAGGGCAAGGGCGAGAGCGCAAGCATCCTTGCACGGCAGTATGGTGGCTTTTGTAGCAGCAGGCCTCAACCACAGCTCCCAGATTGGTGGACGGTCTCAGGACTGCTCCAATCAGGATAGCGGTAGGCAGATTGCACAGCCTGCGTAGCATATTGGGAAAACACATTGACAGAAACCAAACACAGGGCTGCTACCAGCGGCCATAACACCTTATACATTTGCATTTCCTTTCTCAGCTCAGGAAGAGTTTTTTGAGTGTATGCTAATACTACCATTTGTTGGCTGTTGGCTGTTCCTCTGGAGAGGAAATGCTGAGTTGGGGAGAGTAACGATGGTTACGTATTGTAACCCCAGATTCTATGAGTATAGGCATAGCCCTCTAAGAGCTGTCGCTATTGGGTTCATCCCCGCGCGCATGCGCAGTCCTGAAGATTTCTTTCGCACCCATGTGCCGTGCACGGGCCTCTCTCAGGTTCGCAAATTGGGTATATAATACCAGCGAGACCAGAGATCTGCTCCCAAGAGGTCAGCTTTTTCTTCAGCCAACGCTGGTGGGACCAGTTGGGCCAGTAGGCTACACCTATACTATATAGAATATTATATTATAGAGTACGGTCTAGACCTGCTCTTTTATGAAAAGCGCTGTGAGATAACTGTTGTTGTGATTTGGCGCTATATAAATAAAATTGAATTGAATTGAATAGAATCTGGGGTTACAATACGTAACCAACGTTCTATTTCGTATAGGCTTCGCCCTCTAAGAGCTGTCGCTATTGGGATAAGGGCGAAGCCAGATGTATTCAATGCCCACTGGACCACCAGCGGTCATAAGCATTAACACACCAGCGAACAGCGAACTGGGTGTGTGTGTTTGTAAAAATCATGGCGCACAAGAGCGCCCAGAGTACAAGCACACACAGACGCACACTGCGGCTTATGTTGAGGGAACATTAAGGATGGTTGTTACGCAATGTGGCAGTCCAACTGGAGCGCAACTAAGACCGAAGAGAGCCCCAACAGCCCGAGCCAGCAGCGTCGCGCCTGGTCTCCAGTACATTCAGTACCGAGTGCGTTAGAGAAAACCACGATGCATCGCGTAAATAGAAGCGGATAAAAGGGCAGGGTGAAGCCCATGATTCCGCTGTGCAAATATCCCCCACAGCCATCCCGCTGAACAGCGCTGCGGAGGAAGACACAGCTCTTGTCGAGTTTTCACGGATGCCGGGTGGGGGGTCCATCCCAGCCGCAACGTACGCCTGTGTGATGGCCTCACACAGCCAATGAGCCAAGCGTTGTTTTGACAGAGACTTGCCTTGTGAATGCTCTCTGTAGTGAACAAACAGCTGTTGAGTTTTCTTGAGGGTAGCCGTGCGCTCTACATAATGAGACAACGCGTGCACCGGGCAGAGACGATGAGATGCTTCTTCCTCCTCGTTTCGAAGAGGAGGAGGGAAAAAACCTTCCAGTGAAACAATCCGTGACCTGAAGGAGCTAACCTTGTGCGTGAACGCTGGGTCCGGCCTCAAGGTGGCAGAGCTCCCGTCAGCTCTGATAGCGAGGCAGGATGGAGCGACTGAGAGAGCGCACAGATCGCTCACCCTCTTAGCAGAGGTCAGTGCCAAAAAGGAGGGCTGTCCTCAAAGACAGCAGTCTGAGAGAAGTTTGCGGCAGTGGCTCAAAGGGGGGTTGCTCAGAGCGCGCAGCACAAGCGGTAAATCCCACTGTGACCCACTCACGGTCAGTGAGGCCCACAACTTTAGGGAAGCAACCGGTAAAACCTTCAAAATAAAAGTAGCCCATGTACCATGTAGTTAGAAAGGTGATTATAGACTAAAACTTAACTAAAATAAAGTTTTTTTAGTAAAACTTAAGTAGCACTGTGTGGGGAAAAAAACACTTTAATTAACTGAAATAAAAATAATAACTCTGGCTGTTGGGGAGAATTAAACATTTGTAAGGCCATTGGTGACCTGTAACTTCAGATTAACTAATGTTATATGTAGCATAGGATCGCAGTTAGCCTATTTATTTAAGTTTATATTATTTAATTAATATTTTAGTTTCTTAACATATTTATAGCGCTTCTTGCTATGTGGAAGCTCAACCAGCCTTCTGTGGTGCCAACAGGAAACAAGGTTTTGACCTTTTGACTTGTGTTTATATCAAAGAGAAGGCTGCACTGCGACCAAAGGAAGCTGATCACTGAGTTTGAAGGGTGTGCAGAACTTCACCTGCCTTCCAGCTCCTCTTTCTATGGCACTATAGCTGCTAAAAACTCAGCTTGTGTCAAAACAAAACTTTTCTACTTTTCACTCACCTGCTTTGTCTGCAGTTGTTCTTACAACACTTTACGCCATTAACAAATAGTTACAGACAAGCTAAAACAAAAGTCACCTGTATGTATTATTTATTTATCTATTCTTTTATATATACGTGTGTGTCTGTGTGTGTGTGTGTGTGTATATATACACACACATAACAACAACAACAACAACTAAATAGGTTACTTCCCCAAACAGAAGATGCATGTGTGCTGATTTAGCAGAAAAGCTGATTTACAGGAGAAACACAATATAGAGAGCTGCACTGCATAATATACAGTTATTTATAGATTTTAATTAGTCACCTGCCAAGTTTAATTCCCTGTACATAATTAAAAACATTTCCTGCCTAAATTGATTGATTTGATTGCAAAATTCACTAGAATGCAGGAAATGAACTGTTTAATGCTCTTTAACAATAAAATATTATTTACCACACGACCCTGCCGCTGACTCCCACTGAGCCCAACCTTTCAGAACTTTTCCTGTATTACATTCCTCATCCACAAGATGGCAGACTACACTTAAAAGCAATATGCAAGACAGAAGGTATTGGTGTTGGAGGCTTTCATGTCTTGAAAAGTTTTGGATGATGACGCTTGTGGGTGTTTCCTTAAGTGGATATGTACAGATATGGATATGTTTTCCGGTTAAACTTACCTGTATACATGGTATTTATCTGTACAGCTTTCAAAGGAGGACTGCCGTGATTCATTAGAGATGATCTGCAACCTGGAGTCGGACGGAGATGAGAGGGCAGCTTTCAGCTTATGCTCAGCCTTCCTGACCAGACAGCTTCTCCAAGGAGATGCATACTGTGCTTGGTAAGAAAACACAAGCCACCCCGTTGCTTATTCTACATTGGGTTTCTTGTTTAAGGAGGGAGGACAAGATTTGTAAGGGCTAAACTAAATAGCATAGTGATTGTGTTAGTCCCAGAATCTACACCAGTCTTATTAATAAGGCTATAGGTTTTTGTAAGAAATATTTATCATTATTGTCTGTTTTCAATATTATATATTATAATATATTTTCAAGTAAAATGTAAAACACATCACACTTAAAAAGATGGAGGTAACTGGCAGGTAGTCATTTGGACAGAATAAAATGAGTGGCCGTGCTTGTTACAGTCTGCGACAGCCACAGATACCAGATTTTTTTTACCCCAGCAGTAAAGTTTAAAGCAGAATTGTTCTTTATATGTTCATTCAGTCTAAATGAACTAACAGTCATAATGCATCACTTGCACATAATCAGTATGGAGTGTTGTTAATGCACACTCGGTGTCATTGTGTATTATATGTTGTTGAGAGGCTGATGTATATTGAACAGTCAGTTAATGGGCAATTAATTCCCTTACTTCAAACCAGGGAGCTCACTCTGTTTTGGAGCAAGCTGCTGAAGCGCCTGGAGCCATCAGAGCAGGCCTTCTTGGACAGATGCCGACAGATGTCCTTACTTTCCAAAACCGTGTACCACATCCTGTTCCTCATCAAGGTCATCCAATCAGAGGTCAGTAAACAAGTAGCTCTCTATCTGTATTATCAGTGTGTGGACCCTCTGAAAATGATTTTAGCCAGTTTGCCCTTTAAGGTTAAAGCAATCTTGTTAGTATTGAATACTCACTGCATGTAAGCTTGAAAGGTGGTTTTATGTACATAGACAACAGTGACCACAGTCAGCTTTAATTGATGTGATTTACAATGGATTTGTAAAGTGATCCAGTTTCAGAAGGAAAAAGTGCCAATCCATATAGAAATTCTCGAACCTCTCCTGCATCAGAATTGACTGTTTCACTGTCCGTGTGTTTGAACATTGTTTCAAGCCAATCTGCCAAAATAGTGTGCTCAGCATTCCATGGGTTATGTTTGCTTACATTGTTCATAAGCGACAAACTAAAAAGCTGAAGGCACTGAAAACAAATGGAAGTGTCTTTAGCTGTATTTTGACAATGATGGAAGTATTTGGAGCAGGCTGCAGCTGCTGCCCTCCACAAAGGAGAACGGTAAATATTTTTAAAGCCACCTTTCAGGTGTTCAGGTTGTGAGTTTTTGATACTGAGAACATTCTGCATGGACTCTTTTTAATGGATTAAAAAGTAAGATGTGTGCGTTTTCTGTCTACAGTGCATTACATAATGATTATGATGAAAGTAATGTGCTGATTCATGTTGATGTGAGAAATTAACATCTACTAGCAGCTTTAAATGATTCAACTTGCTGTTTTTCATAGATGACACCGTTGGCCTGCCAGTGTGCATTGAAATGTGCATACGGGCTCTGAGGATGGAATCAGATGATGGAAGCACAAAGGCCACTGTGTGTAAAACTATTTCCTGTTTGCTTCCCACTGACCTGGAAGTCAAGCGAGCCTGCCAGCTGACTGAGTTCCTCTTGGAGCCCACAGTGGATTCATACTATGCTGTGGAGACTCTTTACAATGAACCAGATCAAAAACTAGAGGAAGAGAATATGCCTGTTCCCAACTCGCTACGCTGCGAGCTCCTGCTGGTTTTTAAAACCCAGTGGCCCTTTGACCCGGAGTTCTGGGACTGGAAAACACTTAAGCGTAATTGTCTATCGCTAATGGGTGAAGAAGCTTCAATAGTGTCATCCATTGACTTGCTGAATGATACTGAGACCCCTGAAGAAGAGGAAGACTTCATCAGTCAGGAGGGATTTAAGAATATCCCAGACCACTTAGTTAGCGGCACATATGAACTAAAAGATATAACAGACAAGAAACAGAAAAACAGAGAAATGAAGAAACTGAGAGAAAAGGGTTTCATATCTGCCAGGTTCAGAAACTGGCAGGCATACATGCAGTACTGTGTGCTGTGTGACAAGGAGTTTCTCGGCCACAGGATTGTACGCCATGCACAGACTCATCTGAGCGGTGGCGAATACAGCTGTCCGATATGTGCTCAGACCTTTTCCTCAAAAGACACATTGATTCCCCACGTAACATCACATGTTAAACAGTCGTGCAAGGAAAGGCTGACTGCAATGAAAACAAACAAGAAGTTGGCTAATTGTAAAACAGCAACGCCTGTTATTGCCGCATTAAAGGCCAAGACAGAAAATGAACTTTATGAAAATGCTGATTCCCTGGGGCAAAATGGTGGGTTGATTCACAATGTTCAGGCCAGAGTTTCTAGATGCATCACAGAGAGTAGTGAGGACAATGTGTGCCCTGTTGGAAAATGCAGAAGGAGCTTTAAATTTTTCAAAAATCTCATTGCACATGTTAAAGCTCATGGAGACAATGAGGAAGCTAAGACTTTCCTCGAAATGCAGAGCAAAAAGGTCGTTTGCCAATACTGCCGTCGCCACTTTGTTAATGTTACCCATCTTAATGATCATTTACAGGTCCACTGTGGTGTGAAACCTTACATCTGTATACAGTTAAACTGCAAGGCGAGTTTCCTGTCCAACACTGAGCTCATCATACACAGGAAAACGCATTCTGCTTTTAAGGCTAGATGCATGTTTCCAAATTGTGGAAGGATTTTCAATGAGGCCTTCAAACTCTATGACCATGAGGCACAACATTATAAAACGTTCACTTGTAAAGCTATGGACTGTGGAAAGGTATTCCACTCACAACGGCAGCTGGATTTGCACCAGGGGGAGCATGCCAGACTAGAAGAGGAGACCAAATCTTCTGAACAGACGTCACAAAATATGCAGCCTGGCCCTTCACTCATTGAACAAATGCTTTCAGGTCACGCAGGCCTTAAACAAGAGAATTCCCATGAGAACTGGAACTCTGAATCTGCTATTATTTCAGACCCCGGAAGGCTGTCGGTGTCCATTGAGAGTTTGCTGAAATCTTCCCAAGCACCTGTGGAAACCTTAGGACAATACACAGTCAAAGATGAACCACATGATACGCCTTTCTCAACCAGTCAGTCAAATAATTCTGTGATTCAGCCTGTGAATTCCCACATGTCTGTTCATAATAGAAACAGAGATGGTTTCGGTGGGCATTCATTTGATTATATGAGACAACAGGATCAACCAATACCGCCATATGAAGCTAATTTAGCTAACATGCCATATAGCAGTAACACAGAGATCTCACGAGGCCAGCCCCAGATGTTCCCCAGTAAAGCAAGTACTGGATCAGTGAGTTACAACTCTGAAACCAACTCACCATTTCCAGGGCAGCAAGGGCCAATGTGCAGTAGTAACCTGTTAACAGTGTCACCGCCCCAGAACTCCATAGAGCCAGCGATGTCGCAACCACTTCCACCAACAGTAACCCCACAGCCTCTTACTGGGAACAGACCAGAGAACTCTGTGACATCTTCAGCTAGCACAGGTCCCCCTCCAGGACAGAGAGAGCGATTTCATTGTGCATTTGAAACATGTGCAAGACACTACAGCTCCTACAGAAGTGTTACCAAGCACATGAAAACGGTTCACCCAGACTTCTATGAGCAATGGAAAGTTGCTCGAACTAAAATCAAGACAACCTACGCTCCAGCACCGAGCACATCATCTGCCAGGCATCTCAGTTCACTCCCCTCCCTTCAGCACCAGCAGGGCAACACGGTACCAGTTTGTGGAGTTCAGAGGCAGAATGTTATCCAATCACCACCTTATACTAATATGGGTGCAAGCACAGACTATAGTGCTCTGCATTCCCATTCCTCTTCTGCCCACAACCAGAATGCTTCACTCTTGATGGAAAATGTTCTAAATCCCATTGTTCTCTCTCAGCTAGGAAGTGATACAAATCTAATAACTGCACAGTCCCAAGTTTCAGGTAGTCAAAATTGGCACTCAGGCCCTGAAAGTGAACAAATTCAAAATTGTGGCTCTTCTCACGTCTATCCATCAAACATGCATGTGATGCCACAAGTCGGTTCTACCAGTGCTGCTCTGCCAATTGGTGTCCCATCTTGCTCTATAATGGGATCAACAATGAACAGACCAGCACAGTCTTTGCCGTCACCACTTCTGAAAAATGGGTCCCAGTCAGTTTTGACCTCCTACATGGACCGTGCCAAGGAAGTGTCAAAACAAGCAGCTGACCACCTTCCACCCTATATATCACCGATGCAAAGCAACTTAGTCTCCGATTCCAGGGCACCAGAAAAACCTATATCAATGCAAAATCATGTGCAGTCCAGTTTTCCCTCACCAGACAGTGCAAGCCCAAAAAACCGTAACAACCAATCTCCAAATGGCTCAGTTGGCTCTGAAAACAGTCCTGAAAATCAAACGAGAACCAGAAAAAACAGAAGGACCAAATGGCCAGCTATTCTTAGGGATGGCAAATTTGTTTGTTGCAGGTGATTTAGGCAATTTAATAGCCCTAAATCCCTGGGAGGCCATTTGTCCAAGCGTACAATCTGCAAACCATATGAAGAGTCGGAACTGAACACAGACCTGCCAGCATCATTTCTTGACCTTCTCAATTCAGAGCAAACAGTTAGCACTGCACCACCACAGTTGTCTTATAATCCTGCTGCTGTTTATCAGGAGAAGCCCCATCAGTCAGTAATACATGGTTCAACAACCACAAAAGATTACCCCACTCCTAATTATCCACAAGATAATTTGCCAGTGTATGGCAATGGTGAGTCAAATGATGACATACTTAAACAAATCATGGCTGAATCCAACATGTCTGATCTCTTTGTACACACACCTGCTCCCCAGCCATTGTTCCAAAACCCTTGTGTTCCCTATGGAGCTGGTGAACGTTTGCCCGGGAGCTCAGTCATACAGCATACAGAAAATGTCCAGCTGAAACAAGAGGACACTTCGTACAGCACCGCCCATTATCCTCAGACAAGCGTTAATACGTTTGCTGGAAGTGAGTTCCCTGACCCACTTCTTACACAAATTCTTACAGAAAACTCTTCCACTGCGCTTCCTGGAATTGTTCCCACGAATCACAGTGAAGGGTATCACTCTGAGACAACCATTCAGACACAAGATACAGATCAGAACCCAGTGAGGCAAAGACTGTTACCTGATAGTAAGCTTAGTCCAGCAACAAGAAGTGGCAAGCATTCTGAGATGCAAAGGAAGACCGCTGAACAAGATATTAAGAAGAGACTGCGAGAGCAGATATTGTCCGTCGACTTTCAACGTAGAAACAGCTTATGTCATTCAAGCAAGACTGACCCTAATGCCAATTCAAAGACTCCCAAGTCTTTTGGTCCAGTGTGCAGTCCTTCCAATAATTCTGGACTTCATCAAATGTCTGGTAACGCAATAAGTGACTCAGCAAGTGAAGGACAAGTTATTCAAGAAAACTCTGCAATCATCCCAGGAACCTCTGGCGAAATTAAACAATTACTGAACACACAGAGCTTTACTTGCTTCAGAGAGACCTCCACCCCGCAGCAGGAGATACTGAGCCCCACAGGCATCGCAGCAAATGATGCAGATCTTGAGCCCACTCAGTTATCTGCCAGCCAGCAACAGTGGATGACAGAAATTCAAAGTGCATTTGAAAGGCTTAACTTGGTCAGAGAAATGTCTGATCAGATGTTGGCTAACACGGAGCAGAATAGCAATCCCACAAACAGCCAGGCAGGATCTGCAAAGGCCGTTTTGCGTAGATCAATATCGTCACTGGTTGTTAAGCCATTTGCTTGTGAGAATGAGAACTGCACATTTAGTTCAGTGTCAAGTGAAGCGCTTTGGAAACACCTCTCCAAAACTCACAACTACACACTTGATATGGTGAATGAGGTTAAGAAAAGGTATGGCCAATATGCTCCTTTCAAGTGTCAAAAATGTAGTAAAAGATTCACTCGTAATTCAAACCTTCGTACTCACTACCAGTCAGCTCATAAATTATCTGCTAAGGAAATAGCAGATCTAGATTCCAAGCGCAAACTGGCCAAAGCTGCAGCTATGCAGAACTGGCCTGTTGGAACAAACCAGGATCCATCAACTCAAACCACACCGGCTACTCCTTCGTCAGTGCAGAACAGAACTCATCTATATTCACTCCAGGATGCACCTGATTGCCCATCACAAACATTTGTACCATGTACTAATGTGGACATAACTAATCGGAAATTCCAAGATGACAGTCGCTCAACAGTCATTCATCCCTTGCAGACAGCTCCCGTGCACAAACAAGCAATGACCCCGCCAGTAAAGGGCCAGATCTCTGCATCAGCCTTTGTTTCAGCACAAGCAGGGATGGCAGCAGAACAGTGGACACACAGACGGCAAAGAAACT